CTCGGTGGGGAGGGAGACAGGTCAACCACATCTTTGCCTGGCCAGAGAGGATCTCAACATTAAATTTGATTTGCAGAAATGCAGTGTGTATCCGGTTCCCTCTTGCTTAATACCTAGTGCAGCTGGTTTGTTCTGTGTTTTGGACAGCTTCGTACCCTCCCAATGCTGGTTTTTCCTAGACGACTTCACAAAAAGGTAGCTCATACTTTTTCACCTCAGTCTATTTTTTTTTTTCCTGTGACTGCGAATTGACTGTTTTAGAGTCAAACTTTTCTTTTGTTGTCTTAATCAAACCAGGATTTTCCTCCAAAGTTAATTCTATTTTTGAAAGGACCCTGAATTCCCAGGTGGCTTGAAACATCCCTGCACAATGCAGGCAGTGTTGTTCCGAGCTTGCTGGGCTGCTTCTGTATCCTGGAATGTGCTGAATGCTTTTTTGGTTTTCAGAGAAGAAAAATTCTAGGGAAGTGAGTGCATGCATGTGATTTCTAGGCTCCTCCTGCACCTCGCCGTCTATGTTTCCATTTCCTATAAAGAATCACAAACTAAACAATACCTTCCTGTTTTAGTTATTGTTCTCATATTACTGAATGAAAGGGTCTGGTATTAATAACTTCACAGAAACGACTGGAACACGAGAAAACCATACTGACAGATGCTGAAATTCACCACTAGGCCAGCGATCAAATGGCATCACGAGAGTAGTAGGTAAAAGCAAGGGAGACAGCAAAGACGGAATGAAAATTGCCCCAAAATTCCTGGATTTTGTATTGGGAGTTTGTCTAAGCATATCCAACACTAAGGAAACCTCCTGAAGAAGAGGTTTTCCTGAGAGCTTTCTAGTACTTGTTAAGTTCAGCAACAGTGTGAAAACAGTGTCTCTTGAGGGCAGCTCTTGGCTGTCTGTTCTAGACAGCCACCCAGAAATACAAATATGAAACTGTATTTTACTGCTTCCCTTTTCTTTTGCCTGCCATACTGAGTTGTTGGGGTTTGCCCTATAGAAGACATCTAATCAGGATCCTTAGCACCGTGTGCTTTTGCTCTGTGTAAACCAAGATTACAGCCTTATTAGCAACTTAACATCGTGCGATGAGACGAGACACCTGAAGTGTCAGCCCTGGACATGGAGTTCAGTGCTCAGAGTGAGGATCCGTGTAGCTTCTGTTTTCAGTAATAAGAACCTGTTTATTCCCTGTTAGCAATTTTGGTGAATGCAGAGGTGAAAAAATAGCAGTTACTGAGAGCCTTGACAGTTGACAGTGCTGTCTTTGAAGCAACATTTCTTTTGTTGTTATACATAACCATTAAATTAAGAGCTTTTGCCTCTTTTAGCTGCCCTGGGTTAGTAGGAATCGGGGCTTTCTATGCCTCACTGTTTGCCTCCAGAGAAGAGGGTGTCCCGCCTCCTTTGTGGTTACCACGGTGTATTTTGAA